TGTCTATTTGCGCTGAACAAACTATACCCAAATCTTGCAGGACGTGGACAATGCTCTCCTTGACTCGGAATTGCGTGATCCCACAGCCTCTACCCACCAAACTGTTGAAGAGGCAGAGCAAGCCAATGCTGCACTTGCTTCAGCAGGGAAGAGCAAGTTGCTTTCACAAACTAAGTGTTATGCTATGTATAGATCTCCATTTTTTTTGAACGCTCCAACTCCTGGTGCCAAGGTTGGTATTTCCGACGCTGCAGCGCAATGACTTTCCTTTCTAAATCTTGCCAAATTTTATTGCAGTTCTTGGACGTAAGATTGACTCAGCCACTGATCAGAAGGACTGGTGTTATTTGATCTATATATATTATTAACAGGTTTGCCCATATATAGATGCTAGACTTTGTTGTGTGCAAATGCAGGACAGGCTGGACAGTCTTAAGATTCCACGGGCTGCTGAGTTTCTTAGCTGCGCTTGTGGACAGCTTGGACCATTGTTTTGAATGTGCAGGCTTGCAGTTCTTACTCAACGCCCAGCCTGTCATTGTTAACTTTTTCAGGTTGGTGGACAAAATTGGGGAGATCCTCAAGAACCTGAACAGCCTCTACAATGATCTTGGTACCAAGCAAGCGGAGTACTTCTCCATGGATACTTCTGACACTAAGTGCGGGGTGTGGAATCATGTGGATGTGTTGCATATGCTCTTGTGCATGTTTGCAACTTGTTTTTTGCACACATATGTATTTGCTCATCATCCTGTCGGAGAGGAGCCTCGAGCAAAAGAAGCAGGATGTCATGGCTTTGTTCTCGAAATGCACGAAACACGATGTGGCATTGAACAACTACCTCACACGAGCCAAGTGCCTTTAGCAAAATAGACACAAAGAACATCTGTGTGGGTGTGTGGATATACATATGTGCTGAAAAAGCTTTCGCGCCTGATCCCAAATTTAAGCTGAGGAACATCAAGAAGCCTGCGGCTTCTGTGGCTTCTGCAGCCAAGGAGAAGAAGGAGAAGAAGGCGAAACCTGGCAAGACAAAGGCTGGAAAGACAGCCAAGCCCAAGAGTGGTGATGAACCGACTGAGGAGGATTCCAAACCTAAGCGCAAAGCGGCGAAAGGTGAGGACACCTCAAAAAAGTCGAAAAAGTAGGATCTGAATTTTTGTCTTCTGTGCGCTAGGCCTGAAAGGCTATGGGATTTGGGTATAGCTTTTGCACAGGTCTACCATGTTGCTGGAGGTCCTGGCCAGAGTACTTTTGAAACTGTTGGTAGGTTGACAATCTGGAAAACTGTTAATTGTGCTTTGGCTTTGGCTGGGGTAAACATGAATTGCTAGATAGAAGGACGCCGAGTGTTGTTTAGACACTCCGTCGCAAGCAAATAGAAATAAAGCTGAACCTGCTGCAAGTCCAATGCTTTTTATAGCAGCAAAGGTATATACCTGCTGTACCTTCATAGTGCGACTTGCGATCAGCCCTAGTCCAAGCCACTGCCATTTGGTGGTGGGCTGCCACACCTTCTTAAGAAACCCATCGTTGCAGGCCTGGACCTCTCTGGATCGGAGAAAGACAATCACAGTGAAGGCCTGCCAGCAGCGAGTGGTATAACTGGGAGACTTTTAGTGTTTTCTATCGCCTTGATTTTTTGAACACATACTGCATGTACCTAATCTCTTCTTCACCAGGTGGTTCTTCATCAGATCTGGCAGATGCGATTATGCAAGAAGCGGAGCAGGGGGTATCTGCCTCAAAGCTTTAGGTTTACCTGTTGCCTATCCCAACATGCTCTGCCTAGGCAACTACTGCCAAAAAGGCTGTGCGCCTAGCAGCTGTGGCTGCCAAGCGAATGAAGAAGCTAGGCGCCATTTCTTGAGACTTTTACTCCACCCACAGTTTTTCACTATATAGAAAAAGGGCCAGCTGGTATAAATTTAATAAACCTCGATATTCCATTCATATGTGTGCGAGTGCGCCCTGTAGGTGTACATGACCCCTCACTCAGTCGATTAGCACGACTCAGAGCATCCAAGACTGGAAAACGTGGCTCCAATGCAGGAAGAGACTTTCACCGCTTTGCTCAGCGGGGTGGCAAGGCTTTGCCGGTGAAGGTGTCAACAATTAGAATCCCTATTCGAAAGAAGGTGAAAATAGGGTTTGGCAAGAAGCGCACCAAAGACTGCGATGTGGATTTCCCCATCCTGCTCCCATCGAGCTGGATCAAAACTCTACTGAACATGCACCCATCATTTGTTCTTGGAGGGCATCAGGTCACTGACACTGAAGAGTTCACAAGTATGTTTAGGGAGTTTTGGGGCAACTTTGAGCTTGCCCAGCCTGAGCATCCGATCTTCTCACTTTTCACAGACGCCCAGCGCAAGTACACCGTGCCGATGGCCTTGCACGGTGACGAAGGCCGAGGATTGTCGAAGATTCCAGTCTTGGTTTTGTCGTACCAGTTCATCATCCCCTTCTCTGGACCAAATGATCTGAGCTCCCGCATGACCCTTGGGAGGGCTGAAAAACTTTTTGTCATGTTCTGAGTCCAAAGGTTTGCATGCAGTTCATGCTTTCCCAAGATTTGTTCCAACCCTTGTTGCTTGACCCTTTACTCAGGCACAGCTTTACTACCAGGCTGCTTTCGTGCGTTATACCATCTAACTGGTATGCAAAACATGATGCTAGCGTGATTGGCATCATGGACGCCATTGCCAATGACATGACAGATTTGTTTGAGAATGGCATCACTGTGTCAGTTTCTTTGAAGAATCCTGCTAGGTATCAAACGTATGACTGAAAAGACCCATTTGTTTAGATTCAACCCCCACAAATTGTTGGCCAAGGTTGGTGATGAAAAGCATGTTTTCCGAGTGGGCTACACAGGCAGCAAGGGTGACTGGCCTTGGGAGCGCAAGGCATACTTGCTAAAGAGCGGTTTTTCCTCCAAGAGAAAGTGCCACTTGTGCAGTGGCAATGAAGCTTGACCCTATCCCTAGTGTTCATAGAACTGACTGAGACCAGGATAGATCAGGGGGTGCTATTTTTTGTGCTGTACTGGGGCTACCCTAGGAATGGTGGAACCTTACTGGATCTAGTGAAGCGCGATGCCTCGATATGAACATAGAGAGCCCCTACAAAGCTGGTGCCCCATCACCGCTGCGAAGAATTCCTGGTGGCGATGACCCCTCGATGGTCAAAGTGGATCTCATGCACACGTTTCACATTGGCTTTGGAGGAGACTTAAGCAGCAGCACAATCATTGCTTTGGCAAGGATGGGTGCGTTTGGCAGTGATCGCAAGCTTCAACACAATTTGGACCAGGGTTTCGTAAGGTTTGAGACATGGTGTTCGACTACCCACAAGACTGCACACATAAAGTCTTTTGAGTTGAAAAAGTTCCACATGCAGTCGTTCCTTGGAACTTCTAGATCTATATGTTTTCTATGTTTGTCACCCTGGGACTGCCTTTGACCCTGGCCCCACCGCGTAGTGCCTGCCAAACCGCGCCAAGGTTGAAGAGCTTCCCTCGAGGCACAGGACGTGCTCACGATACAGGGTTGTTGTGCAAGTGGCTGGAACATGAACTTCAGCTTTTGGGGGATGAAGATGTTGCCAATTGGATTCTATATAAGTGCAACTTGTTTTTGTGGGTGTTCTTTCTTTGGGGTTTTCTTGTAAAACCTAAACCTCGAGCTTCAACAAAATAATGTCTCATCATGGCTCTCTGAAGCCCTTGCCATGAGGCAGCAAATGACCGAGAGCTCTTGCAGGTTTTGAGATGGACGTTTGAGAATATCAATAAGTTCTTCAGCATGGTCCACCGTGGAGGCATTTGGATGTCACGCCGAATGGCCAAAAAGGTCATGTACCATGGGTTTGCTGGGTCTGTCACTTGAAAGAAAGTCCCAAAAGCAACAAACATCGTTTTAATATGTTTCGCAACTGCTCGACTCGACTCTCGAGATCTATGTAACCTAGGAAGGGTATGGTGCCCTAGCATCTCTCTGTGCTCAGCGACGGTGGACCCTGTTCAAGCTTCGCCCAAAATCGCACATGTTCCTTCATGCGCAGACTCTTGGCTGCTAGGGGTGTTTCATGTGACAAACATGTTTCCCAACACCCCATCCAGTTTCTGGACTTGAGCTGTTAAGGACAGAAATTGAGAAGCAGCTCTTGAATGGAAGTTGTTGGGTGATGAACCCTCACTGTTCCTCAGCTTGGTAGTTCTATTTGGCACTATCCCTCAACTGGTTTAACCTCCTGCCCAAGGTTGGAGCGTTTGGAGTGATGAGGATTTTGTTGGCCGACTCAGTCGGCTGGTTCGCCGGCTGAATGCTGGCCCTTTGATGCCGGAAAGAGCAATCCTACGTGCATTGCTCCAGTACTCCAGGTATTTCAAAAAGATTGCAGCTAAAAGCTGAGGCTGTGGCTGAAGATCTTGCTGAAGGCGATCTCATCCAGCCAGAAGTCATAGTGGTATGACATGCGTGCGCATGTACATGGGGAAAAGAAGGGATCCGGGGTGTGTGGTTTTGTCTCGAGCGTAAATCAGCGAAACGAACATTTTTCACAGAACGAGCGCAAACCTAACATCACGAGCAAAAAAAACATGGTACCTAAATTTACATATCACTGGAGGCCCTTGGAATAGTGACTTTTAGAGCTATGTTAGGCAATATCTTTACTTTATTCCAGTCCCTTTTGAGCCCTCGTTAGAAAATGTTACCGTTCCTTATCTCTGCTCCTGTTGAGCCAAATATCCGGCGAACGTGTCGAGCCACCTGCGGAAAAGATACACCAATTTGCGACGTTCCCACATTCTAGCGCTATGTTAGGCAATATGGAAGCTATGTTCGGCCACCTTGGGGGGGGTGACTTCTGGGGCTATGTTCAATGGAAGTACCTACCTTGACCCGTTCCTGGAGCATGACTGCAGTCTTTGAGCCCTCCCATTCGGTGCGGGCGGTTACCGTCGCGAAGCGACGTGAGTAGAGAGAAGTGCCCAGGTCGTGGTCTTTGCAGATGTGGTTGCGGAGTTGTCACTCCATCAAATTGCTGTCAGCAGCCCAGTCCAGTGGAGATCGATGTGCCTGTGAAAACTCTTGAGAACGGAAGAATGATCCAGCTCATCGTCGTTCTCCTACTACAGGTTTATTGATTCAGGATCCTCACCTTGACTTTGATTCGGATCACATCCCGCATGCCGGAGGAAACCCGAAACCGATTCCGAGAGCAATTGCTAGTTGACAGTCAGTAACTAAGCCTTTGCTGGTTTGAAGTGGTGGATACCTGTGGAAGAAAGGAATGTGCATACGATTGCATATGTATGCATGAAAGCATGGCCTAAGTCGGCTCATGCTTGTACTTGATACATTGGCTCGTTGCACGGGACCCAGAACTCAACAACGCGCTGTGCGCTGTGCTGTCCCAGGTGCGACGCGCTTCTCGGCCTGTCATGGGTGTGCTGTGTGTTTCTTAGTTTTGGTCAGAGGAGATCTGTAATTTCATCCCCTAAACCAGAAGTGCCGTGTGTGGCAAAGGCAGCTGTGATGGGTTGAGATGTTTGGCTTTGGAAACTACTGTTTCGTCCAATGCGAGGTTAAAGCCATGAAGCGCCGCATTGGTATGCCACATAGAAAGACCCATTTGACATGGGCGGTGCCATCGTTTATTATTCCAGGGGCCCATGTGACCTCTATGAATAGTTTTTGTCAAACATGTTGACTGGAATAACTTTCTGACCAGGCGTCAGTTCAAGGGGTGTACAAGGGGCCATTGGAATACTTTTGTGGAACTATTGCCGACAAACATTTTGCTGACATTGGCTCAACATGTGGATAGAAATCAAGAAGGGCCAATGACAAACAAGTAGACATAGATACAACCACTATCAACCACTATATATATATACAAAAGCATACAAAACTGATCAATATTGATCAATACTGCAATAAGTTTGAATACAACGCCTTTGGCTGAAAGAATGTAGCTTGAAGGGGTGATGGGAAAATTGCTACCGTCACACATTGTCGAATGGTTTTGCAGACTCTTGCTGATGATTTGATTTGATCTTGATGGGCCTTGGGAGAGGGGTCATTGATGTGAAGATTATTAAGGATTAACTTAAACGACCAGATTATTCCTGACTGGGTTTTATATATACCCCCAGGATAATTTTGGTTCAAGGGGGGTAATCAAGGTCAGGAATAGGGGGTCCCTTGCAGACAACACTGCTAAGGGCCCCCATCATTTGACTTTTTTTTGCTCAACACCGGGTTATTGGCGTTTACAGGACGTCATTCCATTTCTAGCTTGCCTTTGCTTGTACGGCCTTTTTTGACATACAATGATGAGAGTGCAGGTCGTTCAGTGCCTCTTTTTAAGGTCGTTCGAATTGGAGAAGCGGTACGTCGGAACACTGCCCTTGCTGCCAGCGCCTCTTGAGATGCTTTACATTGCCAACACGAAGGAACATTGCTGCAACAGACAGCCAGGAGAGTTGGAAGGAAATAGAAGTTATTAACTAATTAGGGTTGGAGAGCCAACCTTCATTATTCAAGCCATGATGAGCCCTGAACGATCGAAAGCCGGGCCTAGCACATGCATAGTACCTTTAGCTTAGTAGTAAGATATCCAGAGCGGGCCACAAAGTTTGGCTCTGCCAGTTCGCGACATCAAAGCCATGTCGCATAATGCCAGTGGTTCCACTGGCAAATAGGAATTGCAGCTGGAGGTTTTGCAAACAGGGAGCTTGTAAGAATTGTTTTTGGTGATTATATACATTCCATGCTTTTGTGAGAAGCAACGCCACTACTCCAGTACCTTGAGGAGCCACAAGCTCTCTTTTTCCTGTGTCCTTGAGCTTCCAATTGGAGAAACCCAATGGCAAGTCGTTTCTGGGTTGTTCAAAGAAAACAGCCACAAAAGTCTTCAGCAGTGCTGCGCCCCAAGAAGAAACCGTGAAAGAAAAAAGAACACGTTTCCGAGAAAAGACTCCAAGATGATGTTCCTCGCTTGGGTGCCACATGGTGTGTATCTTGAGCTTTTGCCTTTGACTCAAAATGGCTTCAGTTGAGATGTGCTTCTACGTACACTTTTTCCTCTCGCCAGCAAGAATCATGCCCTCATGGCTTTGCATTGAGATGTTCCACTGCCAGGGAGAGAGCTGCAACTTGCTGATTGGAGAGCCATCCCTTCCTTTTTGTCAACATCTCAGCTTTGGAGCTTCTTGTTACTACTAGTAAGGCACTTGTTGCTAGAAGCGATGCACTTGTTCCCAGCGAACATCTGAAGTTCGATGATTCGACATTGGACCGATTGGGCCTTTGTGCTCGCTCGGCCCCTGCACAGATTCACTCCGCCGAACTGCCCCAGGCCAGAATGCCACCTGTGTCCAAGCAGCCCCCAATGGCGCCCGGACCCCGAGTGTTTTGCGCTGGCCAACTGAGACTGTGCGTTGAATGTGATGCTCAGGAGCCAACAACGTGGCTGTTGAAAGGCCAGATGCCTAGTTGAAATTGGTGGTTTACTATGCTTTGATCCAACTTTGCTGTCACGGCCAAGACCTTGTGCCAACCTTGCGTTCAAAGTATGGACAAGCATGAATGAGTATGGTGATTTGGGCAGCCATAGTCGGATACCCGGATAGAGCTTTCAGAATTTTAAGGATCGACAAAAGGAATACAATACTTTCCCAGAGCAGGTGGAATGCTAATAGCCCATGATTCTAAATGATTCTCATGTTTGTTACGTAGAAGGTGAGGATGCTTATGGGGTCCAGTGTTCAGTGTCCATCGCCGCCTTTGAGGTTCGAGCGTTTGGTTGCCGAAGTCTCCTTATTTAAAGCATGTCGTGGTTGGTTTGGTACGAGCCGCAAAGCCGAAAGGCTAAAAGGTAAGGTAGAGCACACAGAAACTGAGTCTCACTCTGTCTCAAAGAAGGACCCAAGAACTGGTGGTTCTTGTTTTGCAGGTGTCGCCTATGCCGTAGATCTCCGTGTGCAAAACCCTGCTTCATGCAGCAGCTGTGAGCCAAGTTGGCAGGCGTGCTCCTGCCTTTGCCCTTCCCACGGGTGAATGATGAGATAGCAGGAAACGCTGTCAGAAACGGTAGGGCAAGTGCTACAAAGACTAAGAATGTTCATTTCAGATTCGTGCTCATTTGCACGTACTTTAGGACAATTGAATGTTCATTTCAGATTGATTCATGTGACATGTGTGACTGACACTTTGCAGGTGTATCTGGTCCAAGATCAGATCTCTTGGTCCGACGACCTGGCGTTGGATGGTGAGCAGAACGCCCCCTTTTTGTTCGTAAAGACAACAGCCAGTGGCATTTGGAGCAATCGTTCTTTCGCTGTTGAGCCGCGGCCACCGCTCCAAGTGGCCAAAGCGTTTGTCCGCACCGTCAATGGTTGCCCAATGGTGATGTGACAGGGTTCGTGTGTTCCGATGGCTCCTCCTGAGGTCTCAGACCGGCAGCTTTCGCTTGGTGGGCGACGTTTGGGGCACCTGGTTTCTTCAGCAAATACAACGGATGGTGATTCGGTGAATTATGTGGGCATCACAGGTCACAGGGATGTAGCAAATGTGTTGCTGTTCCTGTTGCTTGGTCGTGAGGTTCCAAAGGACAGAGATGGCCTGTTGAGAGGGAAGCTCATGGGAAACTAATAACTAGGTCATGGCTTTTGCATGGTGTTTGCGTCACCGATGTGCTTTTGAGATGGGGTGCCACAAATGCAACGACTTGAAGCGCAAGTTGGTAGGACACCATTGTTGACAAGGTGAGTTGTAGCGGTACATCTTAGACCTGGCGCCCTATGTGGGACCTTGTGCTTGGCCTGTTCTCCGATCTCCGGAGGTCTTGGCCTTTGTAGTCCTTCCGACAGGGCCTCAGGCTTCCGTTGAAGCGATTCGCCCGGGGCTAGTGACCAAACCTGATTTATAGATGGATTCGTAGGTGAAATGAAACTCCTTATATACTTGATTCTATCATGACGGGTCTAGTCATCCATAAAGTCTTTTCAGATGGTTTCTCTTTGGGGAGGCTCCAACCCTGCAATGCGTTCGCGTTCCATGATTGGTCCCGACAGAGCTTCGTTGCCACCAGCCTGGACACTATGACCTCACATCTTGTGCTGAGGTCACATCGCTTGGGAGACACCAAGGTCCTGCTCACCCTGCAGGTGGCATTTGCCAGAGCCTTGATGCTTTTGCCAAAGTAAGTCAGAACTGTCCTGGTCCTTGGACTGAACAAATGTTTCTGTGGTTATGACATGGGATGCCCAGCGCGTCGGGCCTTTTCAACCTTGAGCCAAAGTAAGATGAAAACACTCGTAGCGCTTGGCTTTCTACGAGGTATGGTTGTGCACTTTTCGATTTGTGCACTTCATGAATCACACTCCCCCTGGCTTGGTTCAAGCCATTGAGAGCTACTCAAAACTCCCATCTGACTCGCTTGAGTCCTCACGACCCCTTGAGGTTCCAGAAAAACCGCGTCGCGGCTCCCAAGGGTCATTTGACCTGGGCCTCACTGGCATCTGCGTAGACACCCCCATCCAAGTTGGCGTCTCCTGATTTGGGTCCTCAGCTGGTGGTAGTACAGGATCCGGTCCTCTGTAGATTTCTCGATTCGGGGGTGCCAAGTTACTTCGCACCACCCTCCACCCTTGAGCGGTCATCTCGTCCAAGGTTGGCGGTTCTTCATCCTCACTGGCCAGAGTTCTCCTCCAGTCAGGTCTTTCTGCACTGCTCGACTCACTTTCCACCGGCTGGTTCCCCGCAGGCGACCCCGCATCAATGGTCAAGTCCCGCATGAACGCCAGCCAATCATCCCGCACATCATCCTCCAGCGTAGTTCCATCATGTCCTCCAGGTCCTTGTGCCCAGTAGGCTGTGTCATAATCCCACCCTCTGTCAATTTCCTCACTCACCAAGGAGAGATCGTGAGATTCTCCCGAAGTTCCCGAGCCTTCGACTTCGCCTCGCTGTTGATGCCCACGAAGCCGCCGCCCATAGCCCCCCGGGCCACTGCTGCTCATTCCCTCAGTCATCCTCGTACTGAGCTCCGACGTAGATTCACTAGGATCTGGTTCCGGTTCCTGACGATCGGGTCGGACTTCTCGAGGCAACCCTTCAGCCACTGGACCATGTTCCGCAATGCCCGGCATTGGCGGTGGTCCGGAGGTCAATGAACTGCTCATTGATGAAGACGTCCGATCGCCCTGCCCTCTGGTAGTCGAGGAACTGGATGTCGAAGTCAAAGTCCCTGCCGTTGTGTCCGGATGAAGATCCCTGAAGAAGGTATATCCTACCCAGGGATCCCTCATCGGTGGTTCCGTGTCTCTCCTCCATTCATCATCTCTGATCATCTTTTCCCCATGGCACCACAACACGGTGATTCTCCGATCTTGAATGTGGCCACAGTCCATCGGTGTGTGTCGATGAATTGGATGGAACGGTCTCATCCTCTGCTTCACATGATGTCTGACCCACCATCCCCCTGGAAGTCGGTCCCATCGATCTTGACCCCTCGAAGGCATAGTAAACCTCTTCCACGTCCAGGGTCGATCGTAGTCCACAGCTGGAACCGCTCCAGAAGTCGTCGACGATGTCCCTCCAAGCTCTGCCGAAGGTCCATCTCTCAGAGCAGCCAATCGTGCCCTCTTCGAGTTGCCGCCATGGCTCACATCTACCGCGTAATCCCGGGAGCCCTCAGGGCTAGGTTCAAAGACAGGTTCCTCTTCCGACCCATCATCTCTACTGCAGGTGGGTTCATCTTCCCTCACCTGATCTTGAAGTCCATATGGTGGATCTGCATATTCATCTCTTATCGGCCCAGTGGCTCTCTTCTTAGAATCACAGCCGGCTCTCCAGCTGGTGGCCAAACTAGCTACCATCGCGGCTACGGCTAGGCTCTGAGCAGCCTTGCCCGTGGAACCTGACGGCCGCCAGGCCATCACGCCCGCCAACCCACCTACCAGAGCTGCAATCCTGGCCACTTTGGACCCTAGACTCTCAGACACAGCTTCCACCACTGGTTTCATTCCCATGGCCGCGAAGAAGTGCTGCCATCTCGCAGCCACTCCGATCGGCTTCGTCAGGAAGTCAGCCACCAAATGCTGACCTGGGATATGGATCACCTTCCAAGCGCCCCACTTCACCCTCTCCCGCAGTGCATGGGCTCGAAGACGAAGGTGACGTGTCCTCCAAGGTCCATCCGGCGCTTCAAGGATTCGAAGACCAGCTTGGTTGTCTCCCCCCAAACGGCACTCTATTCCTATTCCATCTCCTGTTCCTTCCAGAACATTGGTCAAGGCCGCCAAGGAATCCCCCATGGTCATCGCTTCGGTATAACCCAGCAGTTCAGCCTCCGCGCTCGACAGCGTGCAAAACGCTTGCTGCCTGGATTCCCATTGGACCGGCTCGCCCCCGTAGGTTCCAATCACGCCCTGACACCCTCTCCCAGAAGGAGGTCCAAACGATGCATCCGAAAGGACGTCCACCCTCATAGTAGGATTGTAGTGTTCTCCAGGGATTGAGGACCGGGCTCGTCCATAGTGAAGCGACCATGCCAAGGTGGTTTTCAAATATCCCAACATCTGACATCCATACTCCAAGACCCGCTTTGGAGCTCGGGTCACCTGTCGTCCCATCCAAGCCACTCCATAGGCCAGATCAGGTCGGCTTCTCACTGACACCCACACTAGTTCACCTACCACTCCCTGCGCCTTTCTCACATCTTCCAAGGTGACTTCCGCTTCCGGCTCCTCAT